AAAATTAATTTTAATGAAAGTTTACAGAGACTTAGGGTTTCCAGTCATTCATTGTTGCACTTTTCTCCCTGCCCACCCAATTCACTCTTCTCCTTGAAAAGAAAAAGAAAAACTCTTTCATTGTTATGCAGTCCCTCCCCTCAAGTCCACTCCACTGTGCAGCCTTCACTCTGGACTTCTGTAATGACAAGATACCCAGTCATAGGTCCCTTTTAAACAGTTCTTTCCCTCATCTGTTTCAGTGCAGTATACATCATTCCTCCCCTCCTTCTCTGTCTTCCCTCCACCCTGATGTCAGTCTCGTTTTACAGCAGTGGCCCTGGCTCTATAGATTGCCAGACCTTTACCTCAGAGAGGCTGAGGAATTAAAATTACCAGGCTTTTGGTTAGTAGCAGAGTGCTTAACTGCTGCACCACTTTGTTGTTGTGTAACATTGAGTGGACTACAACATACAGCAACCTAGTGAACGACAAAACTGAAGCCTGCCTTGGCCTGTGCCGTTCTCATCATCTCTGATGTACACTTGAGTCCATTGTTACAGTCAGTGTGTCTGTCTGTCTTGTTGAGGGTTGTACACTCCCCGCCTTTCTAAGCATGATGTTTTTTCCCAAAGACTAGCCCCTCGTAACGGCAAGCCTCTCGGGGTTATGTAACTTGGCTGCTCATATATAAATACTAGGTTTTGAGCTGGAAAAGGCAAAGTATGAACTTTTATTCAGGTGACCTTTTGATGCATTTGATTGTTCTAGGCCTTGACAAGTTACAACTATATACCATGATTTCTCTTTTTCCTTGGATAGGAGTAAAGTAGGCATTTGTGTTTATGTGCACGTGTCTGTGTTTGTCACACCCTGCTTGGAGATCTTTTTCTTGTTCTTGTTGTTGTTAGGTGCTGTCAAGTTGAGTACAACTCATAGAGACCCTATGAACAACAGATAGGAACCCTGTCCTGTGCCATCCTCACACTTCCTGACACACTAGAGGCCATTGCAGCAGTCACTGTGTCAGTCCACCTGGTTGAGGGTCTTCCTCTCCTTTTCCAATCCTCAACCTTTCTGCATCATATCCCTCTCCAAGGAACAGCCCCTCCTAGCAACATGCCCAAAGTGTGTGAGCTGAAGCCTCATCATTCCAACCTCCAAAGAGCACTCCAGCTGCTCCCTCTCCAAGACATTTGTTTGTTCTTTTGGCCACCCATGGGATGTTCAGTGCTCTTCTTCAACACCACAGCTTCAAGGCATCAATTCTTCTGTCATCCTTATTCATTGCCCATATTTTAGATACATAGAAAGTGATCAGAAAGGCCATAGTCTTAACCAGACACAACTTAGTCCGTAAGCTGACTCTGGTAATTAGTCTTGGTTTTCAACTGGAAACATTGAGGACTTTGAAAAAGAATTTTTTCCAGAGTTTCTGTAAGTGGACTGGGTTTGACTTTATTACCAGGATTTTTGAAAATTCCATTGGTCATCTGAAGTGCAGGTGCAGTTGAAAAAACCTGATCTAGATCAATTTCAATTTTTATTTTTTTTTTCAGAATGTAAACATTAAAAACAGAAAACCCTTAAACTCACCACTCTTGACCTGTTTCTGACTTGTTCAAGTCCTTCATTGGGTTTCTGAAGCTGTAAATTGAGTTAGCTCTGCAGCAGTCTACAGCCTACACTGCAAGAGCCCCTTTCTTTTACTTACAGGTTAGTTAGCAGCCCCTTTGAATGGGGAAAGTAATGAGACCTTATATAACAATGATTTTAGGAGCATGTGAAAAAAGAATAAAGTAGGCATTTGTGTTTATGTGCACGTGTCTGTGTATGTCACACCCTGCTTGGAGATCTTTTTCTTCTTGTTGTTGTTAGGTGCCATTAAGTTGAATACAACTCATAGAGACCCTATGAACAACAGATCGGAACCCTGTCCGGCTCTTATTTATGTGTGTTCACTTTGGCTTACTTGTTTGCCTTATATACTTCATGACGGGTTTTGTTCTCTCAGAAGACATTTGTGGCATTTTATTATGCCAGTTACCAGAAACCACAGAATGAAAAACATCTTATAGCTCTGGTTTTTTTTTCCATGTCCTTTTCCTTCCGTCATATGCTGATCTTAACGAACAACTTGAGAAACATGAGAAAGCATCTCAACAACATGAGAAAGCAAAGCAAGAGCCTTTCTGTGAAATCTGTGTTTATAAATGCAGACACCAAGGAGAAAAAAAATAATTCATGAACCAATGGGTGAATGATTTAGTATTACTTTCTTTCTATTTACTACTGACAAGTACAGAAGGTAGAAAATACTTTCAACTTTTTCTTGTCCTAGATCAAGAGTAGAGTTTAGTGAAAATCACTTGAAAGCAAGCAGTTTAATAAAACATTAGTTCATATGTGCTTTGTTTTTGTTTTTAATCTCAATAACTAAAGCTTGTATACTGCTGGGCAGCATTTGGGATTTTCATTCACAACATGCCACCTTTCCTAAAATTAATACTGTATCCTTGATGCAAGAATATATGAGCTTCCATGTATTCATGGATTATATGCAGCCTAGGAGAGGCTTTGAAGATCATGCTTGGAAAGGTAGAGGGGTGGTGAAAGGAGGAAGACTTTCAACCAGGTGAATTGACACAGTGACTGCAGTAATAGTCTCAAGTGTGTTAGAGGTGATGAGAATAGCACAGGAAAAGACAGGGTTCCGATCTGTTGTTCAAAGGGTTGGTGTGAGTCATACTCATTTGATGGCACCCCACAACAACAACAACAAGCCGCCAGCACTCCCTGGATTATTAATAAAATCTTTTATAATTTATTTTGTTATAATTTGGTAAGCAGTCTTGGCCAATGATTAATGTGTTGTTGTTGTTGTGGATTGCCTTTGAGTCGAGCATGTCTCACAGCAACCCTGTGAACAAAAGGCCTGACGCCCCTCTACAACTGTTGGCATTTATCAAAGTTCATAGAGTTTCCAGAGACATGTAATTTAGGAAGTGGATGCCACTCCTGCTTCCAAACCTGTCATAGTATGTTATTGTTGTTATGTACCATTGAGTTGCCTGCGATGTATACCGGCTCTGAACCCTTCCCTATACTGATCAAGTCTCACTAATTCTGATACACCAACCCCCATTTCCCCAGTTACTGTATCAATCCATCTCATCTGGGTCTTCCTCTCCTGTGCTGTCCCTCCACCCTTCTAAGCATGATGTCCTTTTCCAAGGAGTGGTCTCTCCTGGCCACGTTCCTAAAGTAAATGAGGTGGAGGTTCAAAATCCTAGCCTCCAAGGAGAGACTTGGTTTTACCCCCTCCAAGACAGACAGGTATGAGAAGACTCTTTTCTAGCACCACAACTCTAAGGCTTCTATTCTTCTGTCATCCTTAGTCATTGTCCAACTCAATAGCTGAGAAAAATTTTAATGGTATAGTGACTTAGCACAAAAATTGTCTTTAGTTGAGTTCTCTGGAAAATAGGCTCAGAGATTCACATATGGAAAGATTTTGGGGGAGTATTTTCTAGAATACCATCTACTCAGTTGAGGAAGGCAGGATTGGACAGAGGAAAAAATTCAACTATAATTTAGTTGTAACAAAGACCTCAGCTAATCACTTGAAAAGCCCTAAAGTTAGGAGGGCTAAGTCCTGAATTATGCAAATAATCTGTCTTTCTCCTTTTTCTTTGAACTATCTTTATCCTTGAAATGAAAAAGACGTCACACTCAAACTCAAACTTGAAACTATTGAGTAGATTCCAACATAGAGTGACCCTCCATTAGATTTCTGAGGCTATAAATCTTAATGAGAGGAGACTACTTGTCTTTCTTCCATCAAATAGCTGGTGGCTTTCAACTGCTGGCAACTCAGCTTTTTGGTTAGCATGCAACACACCACTGACTACACCACCAATTTCCTAAAGAGGCAATAGCTACAGACAAGTTCTGGAGCTAACATTCACACCAGGGCCCCCTTCTGAAGGGTGAGAGGAGGCTCTGAGCAGTGCACCATACACCCATTGTATAAATGAAACACAGAATGGAGAAGATATGGGAGGGTTGAGGGGAAGGAGAGGAGCAAAGAGCCATGTTATGTAATTTATCTATTTTACTGATATATTTGATCCTCCAGAATTATTCTCCTGCCGTTGACTTCAGGACTATGAATCAAGCACATTATACCAGTTTAATAAACGATGAAACTATAGCAGTTTGGAGACAAAAACTCTCGGAACATAACAACGCAAATACAATCAAGTACGTGCCCGCTTGTCTTTGTTTAATTCCCCCCCTCCCCAGGCATATTAATTAGTGAGTGCAACAATGGTCTTGAGCATGACAGAGGTCATGAAGATGGTGTAGGACAGGAAAGAGCAAGGGTCAGAATGCTGGTTCATAAGGTCGTCATAAAGAGTCATTTAATTAGTGAGTTGACGACACCTGACAATAGTAGATAGTACTGTTCCCTGATTTCCTTTTGAAGTTGTGAATATAAATGGAGTTTGACATTCTAGGGAATTTTTTTTCCTTTGGCACTCTTTTATGCAGGCTTTGGTGCCCTTATCCCCAGATGCTAGAATGGTCGTTTGTTCTTCCATCCATACATATTCTTCAGTTTGTTGTGTTCAGTGAGATTTGAATCCTGACTGATAAAAGCTTGAGTTGGCCATTCTTCCAAGGGTATTGTTGTGTAATCCTAGTGAATCTCTTCGTAACTTTTCCAAAACACCCCAAATCTCAAATGGCTATTACTCTGCCTAATCTGAGAACGTTCTTGATTTTTTTTTCCCCTCACAGAAATGAACTCATTGAAATATTAGTACGGAATCAATTCAAGAAAATTGATAATAAAAGAAATTTAGACTTCTATGAAGACTTTCTTAAAATAGGAAATGTAAAATTTTTTCTGACCCATTTTAAACATTTTACTGTCTTAGCTCATAATTTCTGTTTTTCTTTAGGGAATCCAATTCTTGAGAATGGATCTGTCATGCTTGGGGTTAAACTTTGCTCATCCTCAGAACTGTCTGTAAACATGTCGTGTGTGATAGCATGGCTTATTGTTACATGCCATAGAATTGGAACCAACTTGTAGCTAACCTTAGTGGGTAGGGAGTTACACTGCCAGCCTAACGGCAAATGGTTCAAATCCATTAGCTACTGTGTGAGAGAAAGATAGGCAGTCTCCTCCTGTGAGATTTACTGCCTGTGAAAACCTACCAGAGAGTCAGCTGTGAGTTGGTTCCAAGTTAATGGCACATAACAACCACAACAACAAATCATACAGGAGGAGCTTAGTCATCTTTCTCCTGCTGTGACATAGTATATATAGCAGAGCAAATGACCACGAACCTTTTGGCGTTCTATGTTAGCATCTTTTTAAGAATGCCCATCAAGTCCTCCATGGCAAACCTCATAATCCTTCTCACTTGTAGAGTGGCTCTTTCTGAGGTTCACGCCTGAGAGTAGCAGCAGGGTCTATGCCCTCAGAGGAGGACTAGATGGTGAGAGTGAACTGTGGCTTTACTCTGCTGAAGACCTTGAGAAATTACTCACTTTTAGTCCTCAGTTTTCTAATGTAAGAAATGAAGGGAGAGTAGATGAAAGGATCTTTAGCGAATATTCCTTTCATTTTGTGATTAACAGGGGTTACTTGCAGTCCTTCCCCAACCGCATATTTGTTTAATTCGCCCCCCTTTCCTTCTAGGAAATGAGAGAGTCCAGAGTTCTGGACCTGTGATTTCATTCTGAAACCCTAGAAACTAGCTATTTTCCCAGAGCCTGTATAATCTAGGCTGTAGGAATAAATACTCATTTTCCTTATTTTCAGTTTCTCTGATGGAAGAAAGGAGTGGTTTTTTTCAGTTATTAATTTGCAAAGTCAATTTCTATATTTGGTAAACAGCAGCTCATATTGTTTTGGCTTTAATTTGTGTTCATGTTTGATGGTAAGATTTGGGAGGGTAGAAGATGCTTGGTAGTAGAAGAATGTTCAAGCTTGTTATGAGAGACAAGAGCTCTTTCAATGGCCTTTAGTCTAATATAACTTACAAAAAACCCAAGTTCTTGTCCACTTTATGACTTTAGTGTTTTTCTGAAAAATACACTAATTTGCCAAGGTTTCATCTAGAGAAAAAAGATTTGCTGTTAATGAAATCTTAGTGTAGAAGACTGAATTATTGCTGATGCATAAATTATTTCTTGATAATTGTTAAAGACTTCCTTTCCTTTTTGTTTCTGAGCAGTGGTGTTGTTCAGATATTGTCTTCTGCAGCTTGTTGGAATGGAAGTTTTCTTGAGAAAAAGTAAGTGATTTAGAATCTTAAAAAACCCGCAAATACGAAAACTTACTGAGCAAATGTTGTGATAGACTTCTGTTTTCCTTGATGGGGGCTCACCTTAATTTGATCTGTTAAAGGATGATTTGCACAAAAGTTAGAATGACTAGTAATGATGAACAAAGGGTTACCAGGAAGGGCAGTGCTGATTCATGCTGTGATGGCAAAGAAGCAGGTCACCAAAGAGATCACATTTCAGAAACGCTATAGTAAAAAGGAAGACTTTTCCCCTCTCAAGGTATTCTCAGATGGTACCCGATTTTAAATTGTTGATATGTGCCACTGAGTGAGAACAGACTCATAGCTTGCCTTTCAGTGAGTTTTCAGAGGCAGTAAATCTCATGAGAGGAGATTGCTTGTCCTCCCATGAAGTAGCTGGTGGATTTGAACCAGCTAATCTCAAAATGTCTTTGAGATTGCAGTGCAGCTACTTAGTGGTTGGCCAACGGAGAGTGTATTAAACTTTTGTCTTCACTCATAGATTGATGAAATATCTATTGATATGCCAAAGATGGATGAGAAATCTATTGATACGTTAAATTATTTTAGTACCAGCATTGCTTAGATCTACACTAGCATTCCAATTACATATACTGATTAGAGAAGTATTAACTGAATTTTGGCAAGAAGAGAACTTTAATTTGTCATTGTTAATGTACTTGCTTTTAATGAATATTTAGATTATTTTGCTTATTTCTTTGAAATGGAAAGATAAATTGAAAGATAAAATAATTTTCAATGTTGATTGTTTTTAAATAAGCTCAAAATATCCCTGATGGCAGTAGTGATTAAGTTTCACTTAATTTGATTAAGACACATTTTTTATTTTATTTTATTAATTTTAATGAATATTTGTAGAGATTTTGGATTTCTGTTCATTCATTGTTGCATTTTTCTCTCCCTGCCCACTTCTCTCCCCCAGTTCACTCTTCTGTTTGAAAACTAAATAAAAAATTCTTTCATTATTATACAATCTCCTCCACCCAGAGTATACTCCACTGTGTAACCTTGATTAAGACACATTTTTAAGTGTTGTGCAAAGAATTGAACTCTTACACAACATTGTTAGGCTGTAATTGGAGTCAGCAGAACATGGAGACTGATGAGTCCAACCTCTACTAACTCCACAACGGGAAATGGTCCCCATCAGCAACATCCACAGTACAGAACGGATAAACACAGCTCAGACTTCGTTTCCCATGCTCTTGCACCTACTTCCACCAATTCCAATAGCAGTCTTACTAGGAACTGTATCAGAAATTCATTGCAATGACCACAAGACTCCACAGAACCATACTGTGGGACTTACTAGGGAAGTTAACAGGCTATAATTTAGGACAGCAGAAATATACAACTAATGACCATACAGTCCCTCAGTGTAGACAAAGTTAACGGGCTATACAGGTTGACATCAATACGCAGTGATCATATAATCATTCAATCCTCCAGCAAGCTTGAGTGAAGGCCTCTGACTATATGGTTCTGTGGAGCAACAGTCCCAAGTCAGACACATCCAAATAAACGAGCAGCAGTCCCAAATTAGACATATATCACTGCACTTCTCAGCCCAGAAAACTACTTTTCAGACTGAGTAAACAACTTTATCAGCAGGATATCACATCTTTTTTCTACTTGAGTACACAGTCCCTCAGCCCAGAAAATTTTCTATCCTGCAGCAAGCTTAGGCTAAACAACAAGTCACATTGCGCTCTGTGTTGGCCTCTCCTCTGTTGAGGCTGTACTGCTTTTATACAGTTCCTGATCTGGGGCTCACACAGCTGTTGATGATGTAGATGGACCACATCTAGAAGAGTTGAGGCAGCAGAATCAGGTTAATGTGCTTGCAGGCCAGAGTTCAGGCTAATCAGTGGTCTAAGAAAGCCGTTTTAAGCCACAGAAAGCCTTAACAGAATTGCTACATCACAGAGTCAAAAACATAAAACATTGCCAAAAGAACTGATTTAAGAAATTAGAAAAAATATATATACTTAATTTTTCTACCTTCTATTCAGGTCTTCATCATGACCCCATTTATTGTAGAGTAGAACTGCTTTATTTTCAGTCTGTGACCCTTTAGATGCAGATTGCCAGACCTTAACTACAAAGCTCCTCTGTGTGACTTTGAACTGCTTACCCTATGGATAGAGGTGCTTAACCATTTCACCATAAGGGAGGGTATCAGAATCAGCTCTGATGGCTACCCATTTAACCCCTCCCTCATTTCCTAGTCAATGCTGTTTGAGAGTATCTTCTACCTTGTTTTAGATTGTTAATCCTCAAGCCTACAAGCCAGTTCAGTATGAATAAAGGTATCCTGGGACACTGTTGCAGCACTCTGATCCAATAATGAGTTTTGGTAGCATAACCCATAGTGTGTCATACTGCTAACCAAAAAGCTGAGTGTCTCTGGATGTTCAAAGCCACCAGCGACGCCAAGGAGAAAGATGGGGACAGGAGTGGTTAATGAATTTACACAAAGCCATTTTAAATAAAGAACACCCTCTTTTCTTCTCCACGCCATGGAATGCTAAATCAAATGATTGCTGAAACCAATGTTTTGTGTGTATTTTCCATTTTAGATTTCTCTTGTTGTGTTGTTGTGTGCCATCGAGTCAGAACTGACCCATAGCTGATCCTCCAGTGGATTTTCAGAGACAGTTAATCTCACTGAAGGAGATTGCCCATCCCTTTCCCACGGAGCAGCTGGTGGCCTTGAACTGTTTGCCTTTGGGATTGCAGCACAGCTTCTTTCCACTAGGCCACTAGAGAGAAATCTCTTATGGCTCCATATTTCAAAGTAGTGTGTTTTTAGAGGAGATAACCTTGAATAAATGTGATTCTATGCCACAGAATGCCTACTTAGCTTGAAACCAAAACCTCACGGCCATCAAATCAGTTCCAACTCTATAGGACAGATTAAAACTGCTCCATATGGTTTCTGAATAAATCTTTCTGGGAGTAGACTGCCTCATTTTTTCCTATGGAATGGCTTTTGTTGTGTGCTATAGAGGTAAAATTGATGCATAACCAACCCTCCAGCGAGTTCTCAGAGACATAAATCAAGGAGGGAAGGAGATTACCCATCCTTCTCGGGCAGAGCAGCTGGAGAACTCAACTGCTTGACTTTGGATTGGAGCACTGCTTCCAACCAGGCCACCAGCGCGCCCCCTGGAGTGGCTGGTGGATTCAAGTTGCTGATCTTTCGGTCAGCACCCAAATGATGCCCTATGGCTCCAATCTCATTGTTGTTGTGTATCAGCAGGTCTGAACCAACTCATAGCTTATCCTTCTGCAGGTTTTCAGGGGCAGTTAGTAGGCTGGGAGGAGACTGCCCATTTTATTCTCCCAGAGCAGCTGGTGGTTTCAAACCACATGTCTTTGGGTTGGCAGCACAGCTCCTTTCCATTAGGTTACTAGAAGTCCCTCCAATCTTATAGGTCTCCTTTTGTTTTTAAATGTTGGTTGTACTTGAGCCCCCTAGCATGACTTTGAGAACATTTTAGTCATAGGGTCCAGTTTTAGTTTTGACCTCTGAGTCACGACTTGGTCCAGTAAGGTGGGAAGACTCAAGCTGTAGTTGACTCTGTCTGCAGTGGAATTTTTAGAGTCTGGTGCTAGGGAGGTGACTACTCTTTAGATTTCCCCTTCTATGTGGCTGGAAGCTGGAATGGTGAAAAGGAGGTGTATTTATTAGAGGGCATAATCGTGATGCTTTAGACCTTCAAGAATTCTTTTCTGTCTCCTTTTTTTTATCTTTTAATTTCTTATCCTGTTGATGCCCTGCTGTGCCCCACCCCATCAAGCACAATATTTGGTCTTAAATGCTTAATTCTTTGGAGTCCCTTGGATTTCTTTCCCATGTTGTTGTTGTTAAGTGTCGTCGAGTAGTAGGCAACTCATAGTGACCCTATTAACGAAAGTCCTCAACACTTGCCTGCGTGACTTTCATCCTTTCTCCAGGTTCATAGGATTTCCTGAGGCAAGCTATTTACAGAAGTGGATGCCACTCCTGCTTCCAAGCTTGTTTCAACTGGGGAGCGCCACCAAACACTGTCCACCATGGGTAACCATTAGGGATGAGCTTAGGTAGAAAATGAAGGAGGTTTCTGGGACTCTAGATTCAGGCCCAGCCGTAGCCCACTGGAAAATTACATGTGTCTGAATCCCCAGGCAGTTAATTAAGTATTTATTTGGGTCTTCTCCTTACTGTACATCTCCTTCCCAGAACCTGATGCAACAGAGTCTTGTCATTGTCTTTGATCTTTCGTCATTCTGAGTCCTGCCTGCCTCCTGTTCCTTTCCTTTCCAACCAGCCTAACCAGATCTAGTCACAAAATTAAACCTTACACTGAGTTTTGTGTGAATCTACCACAACCTATGTGGTGAATCCACCCTTACCCATCTCCAGGTCTCCCCCCCCCCAAAATGTACACCCAATTAGGTTGCAAGAAGTTGTTTCAGATACTTTTCAATTATAGTTAGAGATTGTATAATCATTTACTTGAGAATAAACAACAGCAAGATGGCTCAGAAAAAGCATATTGTCTTGATTTGACCATCTGAGTTCCAATTTATATGATTTCTTAGTGATATTGGAAGCTCTACTTTCATTTTATTAATTGTGATATTGTTCCTAGAGGATGTTAAAACCAAGCCTGTTACTCATAAACAGAAGCCTCTTTTGCAAATAAATAACTCTTGTAAATGAATGAAAATGATACTTGCAAGAGTAAGAATTTAAAAGAGGTATTTTCTCAGGATTAAAGAATAGATTTTATTTAAGGTTCAGAAAACAATATAGGTGCTAAAAAGTAAAAGAGAAACAGTAGAATGACAGTAATTGCATCCTTTGTATGTTAACAGAGATTTGTTGTAATTATGGTTCTTACTTCAAATATTTTGTTGAGAAAGGTTTTAATAAGGAGATTCTCTTGCCATTTGTTGCTGAGTGAGCTCAGAAGATGGTACTAAGTCAATATTTGTGCCCAGTTTAATGCACTTTAATCACAGGAAAAGTTAAAAAAGAATACAGTCAGAGAAATAGCACTTTGTTTACAAGTTTCAAGACACTTTGAACTTTCAATGATGATCGTTGTGCTTTGACTTAAAGGGAAAAAGACTTGAAAATTTAAGTCATTTTGAAAACAGAATTTCACAGAGGTTTATTCCACTAAACTTCCTTCCTTAATGTGAAATTATTGTATAGCTTATATTGTCAGATAACATTTAAATCTGTTTTGTATAGACAAAGTATTTTGTTAATTTATATATAGTTTTTTCAGAGTGTAAAAAGGCACCTTGGTGACAAAGCACTGAGTTGCTATCTGAAAGGTCGGTGATTCAACTCACCAGCCCTTCTTTGGGAGAGGGATGTGGCGGTCTGCTTCTGTAAAGATTCACAGCCTTAAATACCCCATGAGTTCTTTCTGCACTATTAGGTAACTGTGAGTTGGAATTGCATTAATGACAGTGAATTTTTATGGTAGTGTTTGGTTTTTTTGTTTTTTAAATTATACACTTGGCCTGTTTTGTTTTTAGAATTGATGAACATTTTAAAACAAGCCCCAAAATCCCTGGGATTGACCTGAACTCAACTAGAGTGTTATTTGAGAAGTTGATGAACTCTCAGCACTCCTTGATTCTAGAGCAGGTATGTATATTTTTTTGCAACACACAAAACCCACATTTTTGCATTGTAGGAATTCAACTTTTAAAAGAAAGAAATGATGAAAAAGCCAAAATCTTGTAAAGATGAAAAGGGGGGAAATCTTGTACAAAATGAACTTTGTGAAATACTCACTCTGGGAATTTGACCTCCTTTTAGCTTGCTTTCTTAAGTCTAAGGAAATAACATTAGAAACTCTTCCAAGGGCGGGAATCTTAGGCTTTCTTTTCATTAATGCATCCTCAGAGAATAGAACAGTGTGTGGCTCTTAATGGGTTTTCAAATGAATACTTACTAAGAATCTGTCAATTTTTTAATTTAGAGAGCAAGTTGACTAGATCTGGAAAGTATATTTGAATATTTCCATCCCTTTTTCTCTCATTCAGATCTTAAACAGCTTTGAAAGTTGCCTGATTCCCCAGTTATCAAGTTCCCCGCCAGATGTTGAAGCAATGAGAATCTATTTAATACTTCCTGAGTTTCCCCTGCTCCAGGATTCCAAGTATTACATAACATTGACTATTCCTTTGGCCATGGCTATTCTACGGTTGGATGCAAACCCCAGCAAAGTATTAGGTAAATTCACTAAACTCACTACTAAGGGATTTGTGTGTTTATTATTTTGGTGGTAACCACTGGGATTGGCTCTCAGTGGCTGGCGATCCAAGAATCTGTTTGCTGTTATTTAATATCTTTAACTTGAAACTTTTCTTGTGTTAATGTTTATTTTCTAGCTAATCATGGTTGCTCTTTGAGCAAATTGAACCATTATTTAGGTAATTTGAAATGACTCAAGTCAGATGACTCTTGATTTTTAAATATCCATAGTTAGACTATCTTTAAACTTTTTTTTTCCCTCCAACACTTGCTAGTAGTTAATAGTGCCTAAAAAATGAGTGCCCATCTGTCTCTTTTTCCTAGACCTAATTTAGGGGGAGGGAGTGGAATGAACAGCTTTGGTGATACAGAGGTCTACAGAAGAGGAGAGAAAGAAAATGGCCCAGCGGGGACTTACCAAATGTTTGTTTTGCTTTTCTTTTTTAGGACAGTTGAGTCCGCACTGATTTTTGCAGGCTACGGACACTTTGCTGAGATAAGAACCTTCTGTTCCTCAGTGAATCGGAGAGTATCTCTCATGGGAGTAGCACCTGAAGTGTTTTTATTAATCAAGTGCAGAAAGTCTGTCAACTGGCTTATTTATTTATTTTGGGCCCTGGTAAATTTTGTTTTTTTTAGGTATTCATTACAACTCAGTAACTTCTGTGTTCCAGGTGGACTGGGATGTTACTTGAGTGTAGTCTCTCCATGAATAAAGAAATCTGTGTTACTGAGGGTGGAGGACTGGCTTCTCCGTATTGCTTCCACCTTTGCAGAGGACAGAACAGAAATAATAATGAAAGCACTAGTGTTATGGTAGTACTTTTTTTAAAGATTCAGAACACTTTGGGGAATATTATCTTGAGTGTTACAGTCATTTGTGAGGTAGAGAGATAGCAATTTCTGGGGGACTTTTATCTGAATTATAAATTTGAGTTTATTTTTTTACTTTTTTTTTTAACTTTTCCAGATAGAATACAGAAAGACATTAAATTGCTTAGGTTTATACTTAATTTGTTTTTTACTTCTTATTGTAGAATTTTAAAAGAATATTCCAAAGGAGGAAAGAGAGAATACTGTGTTCCTATCACTCAAACTCAATGAATAGCACTATTTTGTCCTTTTTGTTTTAGCTATTCCTTCCACCACCACCACCACCTCATTTTTGTTTTTGTTAGAATATTTTAGAGCAGTCATTTTATTATTTCACCTTTTAAATATTTATTACTAATATTTAAAAAGTATATAAATATATAAAAATTATTATTTATTATTTCACCTTTCAAATATTTCAGGAGTATCTTCCTGACAAAGTAGAAAACAGTGATATTACTTTTTTTTGTCTAGTTATGAGAGAGCATTTTTTGTAGAAAACAGAAGGGTTAACTTTTTTGAGCAAACTACATCACTTGGAGGGCTGGAACAGTGGCCGTTTTGGTGCTGTTTCTAGAGCATGTCCGCATTTGCTTCCTTGAGGCAGGATTGAAGTGGGACTGAGAGGAGGGTTACAAGGATTGGGACATACGTTCTTTGGAGTAATAATGTGGGCAACATTCCTGCTCAAAATATGTGCCTTACTATTGTAGGCACACGTAACCCTGGATGTAGGCTAACAATCTGAATAAATCTTTGAGGAGAAAATGAATAAATCTTTGAGGAAAAAGAAATTTTATAAAACTAACAGCCAAACCAAAAAACCCTTCGGGGATTCCTATGCAGCTGCTGCTCTCTCCAGAAATGCTCTCTCCAACACAAGGACATGGATTGTTTTAGAGTCACTTCTGGGAAACTGTATTTTAGCCCAATATTCGTCTTGTAACTGGAGCAATTGTTAGATAGTAGCAAGAAGACATAAACATTTGCTGAAAGTTGACGTGTTGAAATATGTGTTTTCTTTTTTTCTAAAGATAACTGGTGGTCTCAGGTATGCCCAAAATATTTCATGAAGCTGGTAAACCTCTATAAAGGTGCAGTCGTTTATCTACTGAGGGGAAGAAAGACATTCTTAATTCCTGTACTGTTTAACAATTACATTACAGCAGCTCTTAAGCTCTTGGAGAAATTATATAAGGTGAGCAGAGAGAGGAGCCAGTGGGGAGAGGGGTGAGTAGATGGAAGGGGAAATGTCCTGCTCAGATGCTCTAAGGGAAGCCGTTTTCCACTTGTCAGGGTTTTAGTTGTCCTTATTTTGTTCTTCCTCAGGTAAATCTTAAAGTGAGGCATGTGGAATATGATACATTTTACATTCCTGAGATTTCTAATCTCGTAGACATTCAGGAAGACTACCTCATGTGGTTCTTGCATCAAGCAGGGATGGTAAGTATATAACGAGCAAGGGCGACATGGGGATGGCTGAGTTTGGCTTCTTCTAACTCGACAGAGGGGAGCTGTCCTCACCAGTAAAATCCACAGTATAAAACCAATTCCTCTAAGGTCAGCCTTGGTCTCCAGCACTCCTGTACCTACTTCTACTAATTCCAGCACTAATATTACTGCTCTACTGGATCCAGAATCCAAGATATTATATATAAAGACGTTTTGGTGTTCTGGTGGCAAAAGAGTTACACTGCAAACCCGAAGGCACGTGGTTCGAATCCACCAGCTGCTCCAAGGGAGAAAGATGGGTGGTTTCCTCTCATACAGTTTTCAGCCTCTGAAAACATACTGATGGGGGTCAGTTATGAGTTAGTTCTGACTTGCTGGCACATAACAACACAACAAGAATGAATTTATAGGAGGTTTTTTTTTCAAATATCTATTTTTCTCACAATTTAAGATAAGCGATTATTTTATAATTCAGCCACTGCTTTTACTTCCAGGTAATTTCTTCATTGGCTCTCAGTTCTCTTATATATAACATACTCTAGTTCTGGAAGGTGGTTAATTTTTCATCATTCCTTCTATCTAGATAACATCCAACAGATCGTGCAGGGTTGAGTGAATGAACCCAGTGGTCACGTACCATGTTAACTAAATTCATGATTGCTGTGGCCCAGGCGCCAACAGTGACCCCATGTGGTTTTTCTTGAAAAATGAATGATCTTGCAATATTGGGCCTGTCTTCTGAGGTAACATCTGAGGTTTATGTTCCCCATGGTCCCCTTTGGAGATTAATTTATCCATGACATTGAAGAAAGTATATTTTTTAATTATTATTATTATTATCTTCTAACAGCTACTCTATTTCAGCCATCTCTGTCAGCTGCCTAGACCTGACTGTTCAAATCCCCACCCTAGCTCATAGAGTACACTGAAGTGATGACTAGAGGCAATGCGGATTCCTGCGGCTTTGAGTGGATCTGGGACTGAGCTAGGGATGTGTTGGTTCTGGGGTGGCCTTTCTTAAATTCTCTTCTGCCCTTCCCATCATTCCCCGCC